GACTGGAAGCTAGGCAATGTTATTCCAATTTACAAAGAGGGCATGAGGGAGGACCTCTGAGGAGGAAACTCTGTCCAGAAGTGTTTGATGCCGACTTTTCATGTTGCACTTGGTGTTTCATTGTATGTTTGATTGTACAAGATTTAACCCAAAAGCCATGCTTATACCAGGTAGAAATGAATCCTTACTGAGCTCATGCTAGGTACTGTTAGTTACACTCTTACAAGTGGCTTTTTCTGTGTCTCAGCTTCTGCTCTCAGGTACCTTCATGAGAACAGGATCATCCACAGAGACTTGAAACCAGAGAACATTGTGCTGCAGCAAGGAGAGCAAAGGGTAAGCAGGAACCAGGTGTCTCTGCCTGCACGGACAAGTAAGTTTAAGAGGAACATGCATGTGCTTCATGCAGTTACAGTGGTCCCTCTGCAAGAGCACTCAACCCGGGATAACAGCTAGCTCAGATCTGTGTGTCAGATGAACAGTATTCTGCATGCAGCTGAGATGAAAGGTTGTATTAGACTTCTGGTAACACCTGACATTTTCACTTTCAACTATTAAGGAAGGAACCAGACTGTACTGATTGGTCAAAGATCTGAATTAGCAGTAATGTCTCCAGCTCTGTGTGTATCAAGCCAATGACAACTTTACATACTTTGTGGTTTTAGGAATCTACAGGAGCCTCTTCGTTGGCACCTTTCCTGCATACCTTTGAAGAGCTTTTCTTTCTCCGCTGTATGGTGTGCTTTTAACAGGACTTCTCTTTAGTGTTCTTATTCTCTGTTGTGTGTTTCAGTTAATACACAAAATCATTGACCTTGGTTATGCTAAGGAGTTGGATCAGGGCAGCCTATGCACATCCTTTGTTGGGACTCTACAGTACTTGGTAAGGAAGGAATTCAGCTAGAAGAGCAGTTACCACTTTGCAGTGGGATAGAGTTAACTGTTATCAAGCTTTGGGCTGGGATGAAGTACTTTTCCTGGTATGGGGTGCGTTTGGGGTGCTGCAGCTAGCAGAGGTGACTGGTTTTTTGCTGACACTGGGTTTTCACAGTGTCTGCTAGCTATGTCTGTTATAAATAAGAAGCAGGAGTGCCAATAACCTCTGCTGTTCACTTTGAGAGGATCTGGAAGCTAGTGAGAGGCAGAGTGTTCAGCACTGTCTTTAATCAGTTTCACAAATGTTAATGAGCTCTTAGGGGATAGAGAGAGCTAAGAGATGGGTGGCTTTGTGTCATGTGTGTGTAAACTCTCAGGCTCCAGAGCTGTTGGAACAGCAGAAGTATACTGTGACAGTGGATTACTGGAGCTTTGGCACGCTGGCCTTTGAGTGCATTACAGGCTTCCGACCGTTCCTACCCAACTGGCAGCCAGTGCAATGGTGAGTGAGCTGGGGCCAGGTGATAAGAAGAGTGCGTGCAATGTGACTGTCCTGTTTACAGGAAGTAGAAGTGTGGTCCCTTGATTCTTAGGGTAATATCCCTATGTTCCTTGCCTTTATGGAGACAGACTCCCTTCACAGGAGTTTGACCTACCTGAGCAAGTTCAGCATTCGTGATACTTGCTTTTTGGGATCAGGACTGACTCCTGCAGAGCAGGTAGCAGAAACCAAAGCAGCATCTGTATTACATCTGTCAAGAGTAGCTTTAAGAGCCTACTAACATGCAGCCTGGGAAAGACAGGTGATTATTTCACTATTGTACTTGCTTGAATTCACTAGGCATACAAAAGTGCGACAGAAGAGCGAGCTGGATATTGTCGTTTCAGAAGACTTATCTGGAGAAGTCAAATTTTCTAGCAGTTTACCCTGCCCGAACAATCTAAACAGGTAAGGACTAGAAATCTGTTATGCCATGCTGGGATAAACTGTTTCTTCTGCAAAAGGACCAGGTTTATATTATATGCCTTACTGTGTTAATCTATGAATAAACTGAGTGCATGACACAAACAATGCTTGTGTCCCTTGTCAGACTTGTGTAGTTGTGAGTCTGTTTCTGCCTTCCAAACACTGCATTTGTGATCGGGGTAGGGAGGTGGAGGGGGAACATCAGTCCTCCTGCAGAGACCAGGCCATATGGTGACTGCAAATGCACTTTTACCTCTTCTGATCCCCTTCTTGTTTTGGTCCTTCAGTGTTTTGGCTGGGAGACTGGAGAAATGGCTGCAACTCATGTTAATGTGGCACCCACGGCAGAGAGGTACAGATCCTACATATGGACCCAATGGGTGTTTCAAAGCTTTGGATGACATTTTGAACTTGAAGGTGAGCAATGGGTCTGTATTACCCTGAAAAATTTTCCAGAGAGCAGTTGCCAGTAGCCCATGAGAGAAGAGGCTCGAGTCATAGACCTAGGAGTAGGAGCAGCACAGAATCTCATTTAGCTGTCTCCTGACAGTTAGTGACGGGTGCTTTCCTCTTGTTTATTTGAGGACAAACACTCCCTGAGCTTGTTGGGAGTAGCAAATAGCTCCTGCGTGTGCTTGGTTCCACATTCTGGTTAAGAGGATTCTGCAGCTGAAGCTGTTTAATTGCCATGTGGCCTCTCTTCCAGTTGATGGAGGACAAGGACTTTGGCGTAATGTTACGAAGACACTGCAAAGTGACTTCTTGAGCCCTGCAAGTGCTTTGAACAGTTTATTGGTGGCCAGTGTTTCAGTCCTGGGATCTCTGCTCAAACATGACCAATATATCTTCAGCCCTTCTCATGTCACACTGCTCTTCTTGTAGTTGCTTCATGTTTTGAACATGGTTACGGGAACTGTACACACCTACCCTGTGACAGAGGAGGAGACTCTGCAGACTGTGAAGGCCAGGATCCAGTCAGATACGGGAATCCCAGAACAGGACCAGGAGCTACTGCAGGAAGCTGGACTGGCATTGTTTTCTCAGAAGTTGGCCACTAAACATATAGCTGATAGCAAGGTGAGTCTGGATACTCCCTTCCTGTTGAGTGAATCAGCAGGCTTTTGTCATAGTAACCACACAGACCTAACAGCCCTTGCAGAATAGGCACTCTGTTGCCTTTGGTGTTCAGTCTTTGGCTGAGGAGAAACATTCTTTTTATGGTGTTATTGAGGCTTGCTTTTTCTGAGAGAATCTGGTTGGGTCTTTTGTTTTCTGCAGATGAACGATACTGCAGCTGCAGACACAGACCTCCTGTTCCTCTTCGATAACCAGAAAGTTGCCTATGAGGCTCAGGTTGCCTTGCGTCCTCATCCGGAAAGTGTTGACTGCATCCGTAAGGACTTTCTCTAGCATGAATGTGAGAGGTTGTCCGCGTTGAGAGGTCTGCCTGTGTTCTCTGGTCTGTATCATGTGCAAAGAGTAGAGAGAGCTTTTGCATATCGGGACTGAAGAAGCAGTAAAATGGACTGGCATAGCAATCATTCAATTTGTCAAAATAACTGAGGGAAGGAAGTGTTTGATTTTGATATACTGGGGAAGCTGCATAGGAGTTAGCCAACTATAGGTTTTGCAAGAGGTAACATGCTCCTCAAAGGAGTGATGCTTTGGTCTGTTTTGTCATGTGATAACACTACTTTTAGGCTTCATGCTGATATGTACATTTCCCTCCCCCCCCAACCCCGCTCTGTTTCCAGTTCAGGATCCAAAGAAGAATCTCCACTTTTTCCAGTTGCGGAAAGTGTGGGGTCAGATCTGGCACACAATCCGGATGCTGAAAGAGGACTGTAACCGGCTTCAGCAGGGGCAGCGAGCAGCCATGTACGGTGGCAATTTCTCTAGAATACTTATCTCTGCCTTTGCTCCCTGGTGAAAGACAAAGGACAGGAATGGGACCCTGTTGGAATGGGGAAGCCCATGAGTGGAGCCATTAACGATTAATGAAAAGCTGAGAGTTCCATCCTCTGACACAACTGCTTTTGTGTTCACTGCTACACTCTGAAGTATCTACTTTTGATGTAAGTGGAAGTCTGCATTTTTACTTTGGGAGGGTAATAGGACCTTCTTCTTGTCCATGCAGGATGAATCTGTTGCGTTACAATAGTACCCTCTCGAAGATGAAGAATTCTATGGCCTCCCTTTCCCAGCAGCTGAAAGCAAAGCTGGACTTCTTTAAAACAAGCATCCAAATTGATCTGGAGAAGTATAAAGAACAGATTGAATTTGGAATTAGTGAGTATAGCATTTGGCAAACAGAGGTCTTTTTATGGCTCTTATCCCCACAAAGTATCCACCTTTTCCTGTATGAACCTGAGAAAAGCAATCACTCTTCTTTCATTCCTGTAGCTTCTGAGAAGCTGCTGTTTGCCTGGAAAGAGATGGAGCAAGCTGTGGAACTTTGTGGACGGGTATGTTTCTAAATCTGTTTATCCTAAAGAAAAAGAGGCTT